CTCAACTCCAGATAACAAGAGAGCCCACAATACATTTTCAACCAATGCAAATTTTTGTTGGACCACCAAATCTCAAACACTGATACCATCAGTTATCTAAATATCAAATTTCAGAATTGTTTCTTTATCCCTTCACCCAATACCAAATATAGCACCAGTACTTTTGGTACAATTATAGTACATATCTACGAAACCAACTCCATATGTCCAGACTACACATGAACAGTAACCTCAATAGATTTGTAGCACTATCAGTCCACCCAATGCCAGATTGTACCAAAAATAGTACAATTTAGTACTTTTCTTACACTCGTAGTGCACATTTCTAAAAGCACCTCTTTGTCACAAACCCAACAACCCAAAGGGACTCCAATACACAATTTTGAAATTTCAGCTTCATCCATTTACACTAAACCAAACGGTTCCAAATTTAGTACCATTTAGTACAGTTCGCACACTTAGTACACATTTCCAAAATCTCCTTCATATATCTAACTTACTTTCCAACCTTGGTTCTCATACCAAATTTCAAATTTTTAGCTTCATCCGTTCACATAATACCAAATGGCACCAATTGAGAAATTTAGTACCATTGTAAAACTTTTCGTAACCGTAAAAGTTCGAATTTCCAATCAGCCTTTTGTGCATCTATCCTGTACTCCACCAGTGACTTTCATTCCAAATTTCAGAATTCTAGCTCCATCGGTTCATCATAATTCCAATTTGTTCCAAATTTAGTACCATTTAATTAGCATATGCACGAATTTCTAAAACTACCTACATTCCTCAGACTAACAATGCAATAGTATTCTTATTTGTAAATTTCAGATTTTCAGCTCTATCGGTTTACCCAGAACGAAATTGTACCTAATTTAGTACCATTTGGTACTTATCGTGCACCTAACTACAAATTTCGAAAGCTTTCTACATACCCCAATCCTACACTCCCACAGTAATCCCAATTACAAATTTTAGTATTCGACCCCTACCGGTTCAACCAAATACAAATTGTACCAAATTTCGTACATTTTAGTATATAAGTAAAAATTTTCGAAACCACACCTACATTTCCCAATCCTACACTACGACAGTAATTTTAAATCTATTGGTTTATCCAAATCCAAAATGTGGGAAAATTTGGTACCATTTAGTACACTTAAGTGTAAATTTCATAACTACATACAACATATAGTCAAATAAATGTCTTATTTCCAAATTTAAGAATCCCAACTTTATTGGTTCTCCTAAAATTAAAATTGAACCAAATTTAGTACCATTTAGTACACATAAGTACCAATTTCCAAAACTTCCCACCGGCCCCTATCCAACACTCAAACGGTGATATTATTTTCAAATGTTAGCATTCTATCTTTATCGGTTCAACCAAATCCAATTTGTGCCAAATTTATTAAATTTTAGTACTTATAAGCTCAAATTTCCAAAAAAAAAACCTCCATAACCCAATCAGAATTCCACTTGCATTCTTCAGTCTTAGAATGCAATAGTAATCTTATTTCCAAATTTCAGAATTCCAGCTTTATCGGTTCTCCCAAAATTTAAATTGTACCAAATTTAGTACCATTTAGCACTTTTCGTACACATAAGTACAAGTTGCGAAAACTTCTTATATATCCCAATCCTACACTTCGCCAGCAATATTTATTACAAATTTCTGTATTCCTCCAAATTTAAATTGTTCTAAATTTAGTACCGTTTAGTCTTTTTCATATACATAAGTCCACACTTCCAGAACTACCTCCTGACATCTACTCTACTCCTCAACCTTGATTCCCATTCCAAATTTTTTTAGCTTTAATTGTTCACATGATACTAACTGGTACATTTTATTCTTTTTCATACACTTATAGTGCGAATTTCCAAAAACCCTTTAGCACACCTATCATGGACTCCATCAGTAACCCTCATTCCAAATTTAACAGTTGTAGCTCTACTGCCTCCTCAAATAAAAAGGGTGTCATATTTAGTACCTTTTAATATTTTTCATACCGTTCTAGTACGGATTCCCAAAAACCCATCCTTATTTGACGACTTCGGACCAAGAAGTCAGTCAGTCTGACTAACTTTACTTTGTCGTATATATAGGGTATATATCATTAGATACGGCCAAAACGTGACTCACCTATTGAAATAACGGTTTTAGAACCTAAGTCTCTTTGGACCAAATCCATTTTAGGACATTTGAAGTCGATCTAGCGATGTCGGTCCGTCTGTCTGTCTGGTTGGTGAGTACGATAACTCTCAAAGGGAGCATCCCATTTGGTCCAAACTTGATACATCGTAATATTTTTGTCAAACTTAGATCGGGTTCAGAGATGGGCAATATCGGTAAACCCCCTCTGGTACCTCCCCCACAAAAGGTCGAAATTAAAAAAAATATATATATTTTCTGCACAGAAAGAGAAACGATTATCCGATTTTGCTCCAACTTTGCAAATCCTAATATTTGCCTCTGTTCTAGATCAGGTGCGAAAATGGGCAATATCGGTCTACTCCTTCTGGTACCTAACCACAAAGGGTCAAAATATTGAATATTTATAACTCTTATAAAATGTGATCTCACAGTCCGATTGTCTTCAAATTTCATTAACTCAAGGCCTTATGTGTATATGGAATATATTGGCATTTTCGTTCTGGTATCTCCCCTACAGAGGGTCTAAATTTTTAATATTCATGAAGTTCGTAAAACGCGAAATCAACATTCGATCATTCAGACTGATCAGAGCACAAGATCTGTTATAAAGATGGTAGAGATCGGACCATTCCTTTTGGTATCTCCCCCACAAGGGGTCAAAGTGCAAGAATAACCAAAACTATCATAAAACCGGAAATAAGTATCCGCTTCTCTTAATATTTCACAAATCCCATTATTTCTAATAACAAAAGATCTGCTGTGAAGATGTGATATATCGGTTCATTCCTTGTTGTACTTCACCCACAAAGGGTCAAAATTTTGAATATTCATGAAGTTCATAAAACGCGAAATCAACATTCGATTCCATTCGGACCTAGTACATCTCAATATTTCCATCAACACATGATCCGCTATAAAGATGATAGAGATCGGACCATTCCTTTTGGTACATCCCCCACAAAGGGTCGATTATAAAATCCGAAATAAGTATCCGGTTCTCTTCATATATCACGCATCTCATTATTTTTACTAACACAATATCTGCTGTAAAGATGGGATATATCGGTTCACTCCTTGTGGTACCTAACCCACAAATGACTGAGGGTATACATCTGTCGGCGAAACCGACTGATACATTTTTGCTTGTTATACCCTCCACCATTCTATGGAGGGTCATTCCGTTTGTAATTCCTCGAAATATTTATAATAGACCCTACAAAATATATATTTTCTGGATCAGCGTAAAATTCTAAGACGATATAGCGATGTCCGTCTGTCTGTCTGTCCGTCTGTCTGTTCTCATCACGCTATCTTTCGAAGAAATTGAAATAGAAGGCAAAATTTTTGCATACATGTTTATTTTGCCAGTAGCCAGGTTAAGTTCGTAAATGGGCCATGTAGGACCAGGTTTTCTTATAGCCCCCATATAAAGGTACCTCCCGATATTCGGTATTTGATGATTTTAGCGACATTATTCACCGGAATTGTTTAAAATTTGGTATTTGAAGTTCGTAACGGATACTACAGCCTAAGACAGAAAATTGTCTGTGCAGGTCTGTGTCTTCGTTTAGCCCCCATATAACGGTACCTCCCAATATTCAGAATTTTGATGATTTTAGCGTCATTATTCACCGGAATTGTTTCAAATTTTGTATTTGAAATTCCAAAAGGTTAGTACAGCCTAAGACAGAAAAAAATACTGTGCATGTCCACGTTTTCGTATAGCCCCCATATAAAGGTACCTCCCGATATTCAGTTTTTTGATGATTTTAGCGAATTTATTCACTGGAATTTTTTCAAATTTGGTATTTGAAGTCCATAATGGATACTACAGCCTAAGACAGAAAATTGTCTGCGCAGGTCCACGTCTTCGTATAGGCCTCATATATCAGTACCTCCCGATATTCGGTATTTTGATTATTTTAGCGAATTTATTCACTGGAATTTTTTAAAATTTGGTATTTGAAGTCCATAATGGATACTACAGCCTGAGACAAAAAATTGTCTTTGCAGGTCCACGTCTTCGTATAGGCCCACAGATATTGTTTGAGATATCGTATTTCAACTTCGTAATGGATGCTCAAGCCTATGAGAGAAAATTGTCCATGCTGTTCCAGGTCTTCACACAGCTTCGATATAACGGAACCTCCCTATATTTGATGAATTTAGCATGAATTTATTCACCATTTATTTCAAATTTCGAATTTGAATATGCTAATGGCTTATGACAAACAATGCCTATGTAGGTCCACGTCGTATAGACCCCAATACAACGTCTATATTCGGCATTTTTGAGATTTTAACAGAATTTTTTAGGGATTTTATTTTTTGAAAATTTCCAAATTCGTTCCAAATGGTGAAGGGTATTCAAAGTTCGGCCCGTCCGAACTTACTGTTTTTTTAACTTGTTACATCACACCCTGTATATGAGCACCCCCAAATGTATGCTACATTTCTACGCCCCTGTTATCATTTTGTTTTGTTTTTGTTGTTGTTTTATATGCTTACGGGTGGAGGAAATTATGTTACGGAATGTTCGATTTTTATATGTTCCGTCTCGTTGTTATTTTGCATTTCCGCACATCACAACATGGCACCAAAGACATTAACATGAAATCCACCCCCCCCCCCTTTTGGAACAATGAAGCCCCTCCATTAAAGGGGGGAAGCGTCGCGCATTAAACGCACACCTTCCTTGTTGCCACAATTCGAAGCGACAACGCTATAACAACAGCCGACAGACAGACACGGCTTGGAAAAACAAACAAAACAATCGCAACGAAATAAGTCTATAAAAGACCTGACGTCAGACTGACAACCATTTAGTTGTAACGGAAAATCGTAGGATTGAGATTGAAGACAGAATACAGCTCGTGGCGGCGGTGATCAAAAACGGAACGGAAAGAAGGGCCAGAAGTGTTGAAAGGCGTTCGTTCATAAAAAGAAAAACAATTATGCCCCATTAGTGCGGAGAATCAAGACAGGACGACAAAACAAATGAAAATCAAATAAAAGTTAACAACTTTGCAAAAGAATCGGAAAGAACAAGAAAAACGTTTAAATAACATAAATTGCGCTTTGCAACAACAGCAATAACAACAAAGTGCAACATAATCTAACCTACCTAACAATACAGGAAAAAAGGAGTCCAAAGGAGCCTCCTTTAACGTGGAGCAACACAGCCAGCAAAACAAACAAAACCCAAGCCGTTGCAAGGATAAACTCTTCATTTCGAACGGAAGGAAGTGTTAAAAGTTAAAAAGGCGTTTCCTGTTCAAAGTTATTTCCTGCGGTGCACTTTTTTTTTTGAAATCACTGATGTTTGCTAGCCCTCCTCGGTTCCACACAAAAACCACAATTTGAGGTTTTAATAAAACGCAAAGCAATATTGCCCACCTAGCCCTCCCCCCCTTTAAGAACACACAAATACTAGAAATTGCCCAGGAACTTTGCAAATAGCTCTCCCTCTCCCTTGGAGCCTTTGAGGCTTACTTCGTGTGAGTGTGTCAAAATGAAATCAGAACCCCTGGCATCGGATATTTTCAGTCATACGTTTACACCGCGTCATTCGTCAAAGAACGTTCAGCGCGACCTGAACCCAACAACGGATTTGTCGAAACACGCGAATTTCGAATCGTGGCAACGCCAATCGTCGGTTAATCGTCGACGCCGTGATTCGTTGGCTTTGTCGGACAAGGAAAGTGTTTGCAGCATCAGCACAACACGTTCGAAGAAGTTTAAAACGAGGCAAGGATTGTTGCTAAATTTTTAAAGGAAACTGATTAAAATTTAAAAAAATAAAAATTTCCAAAAAAAAATCGGAAAAATGTGAACAAAAATTGAAGTTACATAAGATTTTCTTGGTGTTACATAACATTTTGTGGATTATAAACATGAAAAATAATCTCAAAATCAAAAAAAAAAAAAAATAATAATAATAATAATAATAAGTGCTGAGCCTTTAAGGGATGGACAAATACCTGACAGGAATTATGTTTTTTTACAAAAGTAAAATTCTTATAGGAAAGTTCTTCGGAATCACAGTAACGTTACTTACAGGAAATTTAGTCTGGTATAAAAATTATTTGAAAAGTCGGCAATGCTCTACACTGCGATTCTAATTTTGGATTATTGAGAGACAACTTATTTTATAAAAAAAATATGTAATTTAAATATTATGGTTTTATTGACAACTCAAACACTTTCGTTGAACTGCTTATATTGTCGATGAGGAATAATAGTTTCAACAGAATAATAATTTTTAATAATAAAAAAATTAATCGGAGAAAATTATTTTTAGAAATTTTTTGGTAATCTCCAAATATTTTTCATAGAGAAAATTTTGTCCCAGATAGACATTTTTTTACTTCTTTTTTTTGTTTTTAAATCGGACTATTCTTCATTTGTAAAAAATCATCGAAATTATCTTAAATTCGTCAATATCAAAATCCGTAAGATATGGGAAAAGTTAAACTATCCACAGAGATACTGTAATGTCAAATTACAGCTGGTTTGGTTGGACAAGAAAAAAACATTAAGTTCGGCCGAGCAGAAATTTTAAAGCCCTCCACCACTGGGTAAAGAAAAATTTTTTCAATAGAAGTATCTTAATTAAGTAAGATCGTTTGGATAATGGAGTTAAACTTAAAAAAAAAAAAAACAGTGAAGAAAGTCTCAAAGTCGGGCGGGGCCGACTTTATGATATCCTACACCACTTTGCTAATTTAGTAGAGCTCTGCATAACAATTAAAAGTTTTTATGGAAGAATTCAATCATACACGCTATGATATGAAATATGCCGAAGCATTTGTATCTTCTAAATTCGGACTTGTATTGCCCATTTGGTGCACAATTAATTTGAAATCGGATAAAGATATATGTATGGGAGCTATTTCCAAATCGGAATCGATCTTGATAAAATTTTTCAAAGATATTTCTGAGCTGTATTTGATATATTTCCCTGAATATCGTTGTTACGGAGTGCATATTACGGCTGTGGGTAGCAAATATAACAAATCGGATGAACAGTATATATGGGAGCTATAGCTATATCTGAACCAATCTTCACCAAATTTGACATACTAGCTTCTAGACTCAATTCGGTCGTAAGTACCAAATTCCATCCCATTTGGACAAATATTAGATGTTTGGTGCACAATATAGGGTAAATCGGACGAAGTTATATATGGTAGCTATATCCAAATCTGAACCGATATCGATAAAATTTGGCAAATGTATTTCTGAGCTGTATTTGATATATTTACCCAAATATTGTTGTTGCGGAGTGCATATTACGGCTGCGGAGGACAAAAATAACAAATCGGATGAACAATATATATGGGGGCTATAGCTATATCTGAACCGATTTCGATCAAATTTGGCATACTTATTTTCAGGCCTAATTTGGGTGTATTTGCAAAATTCCATACAATTCGGGCTGATATTACACGTTTGGTGCATAATAAAAGTTAAATCGGACGAAGATATATATGGGAGCTATATCTAAATTTTGACCGATTATCTCCAATTTCAATAGGGTTCGTCCTTGGGCCAAACAAATGATCTGTGCAATTTCAATTTCATCCGGATCGGACAATAAATGCGACCTGTACTTTGTTTACAAAAATACATGGACAGACGGACGGACGGACAGACGGACGGACATGCATAAATCGACTCAGAATGTGATTCTATGCAGATCATCAAAAGGAACTATGGGTCTATCTCGTTTCCTTTTGCCTGTTACAAACAAATGCACAAAGACATAATACCCTGACCACCTTGTGGTGTAGGGTATAAAAATGGAATGTCGAATGTCTGGGGGTACCGGTATATGGGCGCTATACTTAAAAATGAACCCATGTAGACAATTCTGTTCTAGGGGTTAAAGTACTCAGAAGGAACCCCTTGTGTGGATTTTAAGACAATTCCATTGAAAATTTTGGCTAAATACATGCAAATACCGAATATAGGAGAGTACCGTTATATAGGCGCTATACTAAAACGTGGACCTATGTAGACAATTCTCTTCTAGGGGGTAAAGAACTCAGAAGTAACCCCTTGTGTGGATTTTCAGACAATTCCATTGAAAATTTTGGCTGAAATCATGTAAATACCAAATATCGGGGGTTACCGTTGTATGGGGGCTATACGATATCGTGGTTCTATATAGACAATTCTCTTTCAGGGTGTAAAGTACTCACAAGGAACTTCTTGTGAGAATTTTCAGGCACTTCAATTGAAAAATGATGCTAAAATCATCAACATACCGAATATTGGAGGGTACCGTTATATGGGCGCTGTACTAATACGTGGACCCATGTAGAAAATTTCTTTTCTGGGAGGTAAACCTTGTGTGGATTTTAAGACAATTCCATTGAAAAATGTGGCTATAATCATGAAAATACCGAATATCGGGAGGTGCCGTTATATGGGGGCTATACGAAATGACGAATATCGAAGCGTACTGTTGTATGGGGGATATACAGGGTGAGATAAAAAAACTGCAACAAAGTCAAACGCCATAGTCAAATTTTTGGCACGAATTATGGCCTTCTAATGGCCAATGAAACCACACGCTGCCCGAATGTTGCTCTGCGGTATTTTGGCCCATTCCCGGCGAAGCGCTTGCTTGAGTTAATCGACACTTTCGTATTTTTTAGTGCCATCCTTGCTTTCCAAAATACTCCAGACACAATAGCCCAACAGATTGGTATTCGGAGATTTTGGTGGCCATTGTGCGCTGGAAATGAAGCGAGGAACCTCATTTTGTAAACATTCTTGGATGGCGTGTGTTGAGTCCGGTTGGAATGTCCAAGGTCTGCGGCCAAAGTGTTTGCGTGCTCAAGGCTTTAATAAACCCTCCAGAAAATTTTCGCGATTATATTCGGCATTTATTCTGATGCCACGGTCGATTAATAGGAGCGGAGAGCGACCATCGGCTGTTATGGCAGGCCACACCATCAACATGGCCGGCGCTTGAGTTCTGGTGGCCAACAGAAGGTGCACATTTTCAGGTGAACTCTTTGGCAAGTAAAGGAGAGAAAAAAAAATCGGCAGTTCACCACTTTCGGCTAAACGAAGCAACTCTTTAGCCACTGCGACGCGGGTTTCGATCATGTAGCTCCTTTACTTTTCGAACCATTTCTGCTGTCGTTGTTGTTTTCTTCCGTCACGGTAACGAGCGATGGTACGAGACACAAAAGATTTATTCACATTTAAATGCTGGGGTGCTCTGAGGATAGCCACTTGTGGTTGTCCAGCCAAATATAAAGAAATCACACTATCCCGCTTGAATTCCATCACGAATAACTTTTTTTCTGGCAAATTCTCAGCAAAAAGCTTTCGTAAGCTTGTAAACAATATAATGAGCTGCCACTGGAACACTTTTAACAGCTGTCGGACGAGTGGCTAACAAATGAGAGTAGTGTGTAGTTGGTTGCAGTTTTTTCATCTCACCCTGTATATACCAGTAAGGAAAAGTGAAAAGTCAGGTGATACTCTACGCCATTATGCATATTTAATAGAGCTCCCGCTATAATTTTTAAATAAATATTTCGAATAAGAAAGGTACTAAAATGTACTACAAAGTTAATACTTTGTATTGGACAAACAAAATAAGCTCGAATTCCGAAATTTGGAATGAGAGCCACTGGTGGAGTGCCTAATAGATGTACCGTAGAATTTTTGGAAATTCGAACAATAAGGTTACGAAAAATTTTAAAATGGTATTAAACTTTTAAAATGGTACCAATTGTAAACTTAAAATTTGAAGTTTGGTATGAATTAGGGATGGGAAATATTTGATATTAGATGGTGTCTATGATTAAATTATGTACTTTTCTACTATTCTTCGAAAAGTACTTCGTGGTACTAAATTTGGTATTGAGCAAAGTAATCCTTCAGGTGGAATCCTGAAATTTGACTCAGATATGACTGTCGGAGCCTGAGGTTAGGATATGAAGGTAGTTTTGGAAATGTGTGCTATAATTGTACGAAAAGTACAATATACGACTATACGTGGTATTGGGTTAGGCGATAGAGATAAAATTCTGGAATTTGATATTTGGATTACTAATGGTATCTGTGGGGGGAAAGTACTAAATAGTACTAAAATTGGAATTGGACGAAAATTATGTCTAGGATTTAGATATAGAACGATATGTGTTACTAAATTTGATATTTGGTTAAGGGATAGGGCTGGAATCCCGAAATTTATTTTTGAGGTCTCTATTGGTATCTGGAATTGAGATATACTTAAAGGATTACTGTAGGTGTGTAGGATGAAGAGATGTAGATTGTTTTGTATATGCGTACTAAATGTTACTAAATTTGGTATTGGGTGAAGAGATAGAGCTGAAAATCCGAAATAGTTTTGGACAGAAAAATTAGATGTAGGTCAATTGCCATAAGTAGAATCTACTCAATTTTGCGAAGTTTTTCTTAAAAAAAAAACTTGGAATCACATTCATTTTTTTTAGGATAATATAAAAAAAATTGATTCTTTGTTTTCGAGACATATATACTCATATATTTTCTCAAAATATTGAATCGGGCATTTAATTTTTTGGATTGGTGATTTTTAATTTTTTTGCAAAATTCTGAGACATATTTTGGGCGAATATGACGATAAGATGCCGGACTTAAATTAAGTTCACCTCCCAATGAGAAAAGAAGCTCCAAAATACAATCTCCATGAAAAGAACCTCTTCCATGCTGAATATTGTAAATACTTCTAATTTCATGAATATTGTGTGTTTTTATACCCTACACCACAAGGTGGTCAGGGTATTATGTCTTTGTGCATTTGTTTGTAACAGGCAAAAGGAAACGAGATAGACCCATAGTTCCTTTTGATGATCTGCATAGAATCACATTCTGAGTCGATTTATGCATGTCCGTCCGTCTGTCCATGTATTTTTGTAAACAAAGTACAGTTCACATTTATTGCCCTATCCAGATGAAATTTTGCACAAATCATTTGTTTGGCCCAAGGACGAACCCTATTGTAATTGGAGATAATCCGTAAAAATTTAGATATAGCTTCCATATATATCTTCGTCCGATTTGCCTTTTATTGTGTACCAAACGTGTAATATCAGTCCGAATAGTATAAAATTTTGCACGTACGATAAGATTGGACCTGAAAATAAGTATGCCAAATTTGATCGATTTCGGTTCATATATAGCTATAGCTCCCATATATATTGTTCATCCGATTTGTTATTTTTGTCCTCCTCGGCCTTAATATGCACTCTGTAACAACAATATTTGGGGAAATATATCAAATACAGCTCAGAAATACATTTACTAAATTTTGTCGAGATCGGTTCAAATTTGGATATAGCTCCCATATATATCTTCGTCCGATTTGCCTTCCATTGTGCACCAAACGTCTAATATTTGCCCAAATTGGATGAAATTTGGCACTTACGACCGAATTGAGTCTAGAAGTATGTCAAATTTGGTGAAGATCGGTTCAGATATAGCTATAGCTCCCATATATACTGTTCATCCGATTTTTCATATTTGTTACCCACAGCCGTAATATGCACTCCGTAACAACGATATTCAGAGAAATATATGAAATACAGCACAGAAATATCTTTGCCAAATTTTATCGAGATCGGTTCCAATTTGAATATAGCTCCCATATATATCTTTATCCGATTTCAAATTAATTGTGCACCAAATGGGCAATACAAGTCCGAATTTAAAAGATACAAATGCTTCGGCATATTTAGTTCTTTGAACTTTAAATTATAACTATAATCATAGCTTGTAGGATTGAATTCTCCCATAAAAACTTTTAATTGTTATGTGGAGCTCTACTAAATTAGCAAAGTGGTGTAGGGTATCATAAAGTCGGCCCCGAACGACTTTAAGACTTTCTTTACTGGTTTATTAAATGTTTGTGTGATTTTAATGTGATTTAAAAATTGATCGGTTTTTGACGGGTCTTGCTCGACAAACATTTCTCACAATAAAAGGGATTAGTGAATTAAGGCATATAAAATGAAATTTATACAGAAATGCTATACACCCATTGCTTATAGCCTTTGTAAACAGACATGACATTGATCTTCAATTTCTAACACCTTACAACGTCATAGTCAGGTGATTTGAAAAAAAACAAGTTAAAAAGCAGTAAGTTTGGCCGGGCCGAACTTTTAATACCCTCCACCATTTGCAACGAATTTGGAAATTTTCAAAAAATAAAATCCTTAAAAAATTCTGTTAAAATTTTAAAAATACCGAATATAGCCGTTATTTTGGGGTCTATACGACGTGGACATGCATAGGCATTGTTGGTCATAAGCCATTACCATATTCAAATTCTAAACTTGAAATAAACGGTGAACAATGTAGCTAAAATCATCAAAATACCGAATATAGGGAGGTACCGTTATATGGGGGCTATACGAAGACCTGGACCCGCACAGACAATTTTCTGTCACAGACTTTAGTTCCCATAACGAACTTCAAATACCAATTTTAAAACAATTCCGGTGAATAATGTCGCTAAAATCATCAAAATACCGAATATAGGGAGGTACCGTTATATGGGGGCTATACGAAGACGTGGACCTGCACGGATAATTTTCCGCCTTAGGATGTAGTATCCATTTTGAACTTCAAATACCAAATTTGAAACAATTCCCGTGAATAATGTCGCTAAAATCAACAAAATACCGAATATCGGGAGGTACCGTTATATGGGGGCTATACGAAGACGTGGACCTGCACGGATAATTTTCCGTCTTAGGGTGTAGTATCCATTTTGAACTTCAAATACCAAATTTAAAACAATTCCCGTGAATAATGTCGCTAAAATCATCAAAATACCGAATATAGGGAGGTACCGTTATATGGGGGCTATATGAAAACGTGGACCTACATGGCCCATTTACGAACTTAACCTGCCTACTGGAAAAATAAACATGTGTGCAAAATTTTAGCCACCTATCTCAATTCATTCGAAAGATATCGTGATTACAACAGACAGACAGACAGACGGACAGACAGACAGACAGACAGACGGACAGACAGACAGACAGACGGACATCGCTAAATCGACTTAGAATTTTACGCTGATCAAGAATATATATACTTTGTTGGGTCTGATATGAGTATTTCGAGGAGTTACAAACGGAATGACAAAGTTAATATACCCTCCATAGTATGGTGGAGGGTATAAAAACACACACAAATAACCACAACACAATGGGCTTGATTCATTATGCGGATTTTTGTGGTATTCTTCATTGTATTCCACCTCTCCATACCACCTTCTCAAATAATGTTCTCTTTATTCAAGCTAACCATTCAATTTTACTCCTTTTACCATTAGAACTCATTTCTAAGCCATATTTCAACAAAAAAGTTGGTCTTGCCAACATTCTTAGCTACCCCTGATACCTTTGAGTGGCCTTAAACCAAAAAACAAAATAGGGGTTGCTTCTAGTGGTGACTTATTGGAATTTTTCATTTGGCCTAAAACAAATGCGACCTCAACTCGTTGCCAAAGTAACCGAACTTGACCAATTGTCCTAAACACACACACACACACCAGAGTACACACCCCTTCTCTCGCTCTCACACTTGTTATGAAGGGAAAACCCTTAATACCATTACTACCAGCCATGAACTTTGTATTACAACACACAAATGTTGCTGGCGCTGGTACTATACAAACCAATACGATTCGGAACAAGTTTTTTTGATTCATGGCACTTTAGTTCGCTGTTAGCATGCATAGCAAGGGGTTGTTTGTGAATGAAAAATATTATTACAAAATGTTTAAAACACCAAGAAAATAACAAAAAATAAAAGAAAATTTAATTTGGAAATTGTTGGTATTTCAAAAATATTTAAGAAAAAATTATTTGTTTGAAAACAGAATCAATTCCATGAAACCCTTGAAAGGTGGCGGCATCAACAAGAAGACAAAGACCATGGATTACACCAATTACGCCTACAACGAAGCGGTGGGGCGCTTGAAGCTAATGTTGGCCTCTGAATCATATTCACCATCGAAGACGGCCAGCAGTTCGTATCTGAGGAATATAAATGATGATTCGGCGGATAATTATTCGGATAATATGTCGGTGAGTAATAGAAAAGAAAAATATTCTTTAGAAAATCTATGGATCCTTTCGAAATATCCTTAAAAATGTCCAGGATAAATGTCCTTGGGTTCTTGGAAAATATCCTTAAAAATGTCCACGGTAGGTGGTCTTTGGGTCCCTGAGAAATATCCTTAAAAATGTTCAGATCCCTAAAAATGTCTATGCGTCATTGAGAAATATCCTTAAAAATGTCCACGGTAGGGGGGGGGGGGGTGTCCTTAAGAAATATACTTGGGAAATGTGCTTAGAATTGGTCTGAAGCTCCTTCAAAAATATTATTTAAAAAATCCACATTTATTGGTCTGAAGCTCCTATTCTTTAAAAAATCCACGTTTATTGGTCTGAAGCTCCTATTCTTTAAAAAATCCACGTTTATTGGTCTGAAGCTCCCATTCTTTAAAAAATCCACGTTTATTGGTCTGAAGCTCCTATTCTTTAAAAAATCCACGTTTATTGGTCTGAAGCTCCTATTCTTTAAAAAATCCACGTTTATTGGTCTGAAGCTCCTATTCTTTAAAAAATCCACGTTTATTGGTCTGAAGCTCCTATTCTTTAAAAAATCCACGTTTATTGGTCTGAAGCTCCTATTCTTTAAAAAATCCACGTTTATTGGTCTGAAGCTCCTATTCTTTAAAAATAATCCACGTTTATTGGTCTGAAGCTCCTATTCTTTAAAAAAAATCCACGTTTATTGGTCTGAAGCTCCTATTCTTTAAAAAATCCACGTTTGATAGGTCCTTGAAAACTATTCTTTAAAAAATCCACGTTTGATAGGTCCTTGAAAAATATTCTTTAAAAAATCCACGTTTGATAGGTCCTTGAAAACTATTCTTTAAAAAATCCACGTTTGATAGGTCCTTGAAAAATATTCTTTAAAAAATCCACGTTTGATAGGTCCTTGAAAAATATTCTTTAAAAAATCCACGTTTGATAGGTCCTTGAAAAATATTCTTTAAAAATCCACGTTTGATAGGTCCTTGAAAAATATTCTTTAAAAAATCCACGTTTGATAGGTCCTTGAAAAATATTCTTTAAAAAATCCACGTTTGATAGGTCCTTGAAAAATATTCTTTAAAAATCCACGTTTGATAGGTCCTTGAAAAATATTCTTTAAAAAATCCACGTTTGATAGGTCCTTGAAAAATATTCTTTAAAAAATCCACGTTTGAAGGTCTTTTGGTCCTTGGAAAAAATTCTCTAAAAAATCCACGTTTGATGGTCTTTGGGTCCTTGGAAAAAAATTCTTTAAAAAATCCACGTTTGATGGTCTTTGGGTACTTGGAAAAAATTCTTTAAAAAATCCACCTCTATGGCTCCATGAAAAATATTTTAAAAAATCCACGTTTGTTGGTCTTTGGGTCCTTGAAAAATATTCTTTAAAAAATCCACGTTTTTGGTCTTTGGGTCCTTGAAAAATATTCTTTAAAAAATCCACGTTTGTTGGTCTTTGGGTCCTTGAAAAATATTCTTTAAAAAATCCACGTTTATTGGTCTATTGGTCCTTGAAAAATATTCTTTAAAAAATCCACGTTTATTGGTCTATTAGTCCTTGAAAAATATTCTTTAAAAAATCAACGTTTGATGGGTCCTTGAAAAATATTCTTTAAAATATCTACATTCCCTATTTTGTCCCTATTTTCAGACCATTGATCGTCCTGTGTATGCCGATATTTCCAAATATCTCTCACCCAGTCAAAAAAATCGCTTGGGCGCCACGATTACCACTGCAAGTTATCGTCCAAAGAAGACACTCAGCGGTTTTAGTTCAGCATCCAAAGAGAATTTGGCCATGCCATCGTCGCTTTATCAGCCGGCAACACAACCCATTACCACGGCTCTGGCAAATCCTTCCACAGCCACCATAGATTACTACAGCTCAGTGGGAGCCTCTAAGCCTCTTCACACCACTCCACCCACTGACAGTGTTCAGGCTCCGGTGGAGATTTTCAATTTTATTGAAAAACAAGAGGACTATATTGAGCAGCTGGAAAAGGAATCGAAATATTGTCGCAATGAGCTGACCAATCTGCTGGGCAAGGTCAAGGATGTCATCAATGAAAATGAACAGCTGACGGATATTGCCCGTTCAGAGCTGGGTAATCTGGGTAAGGGGAATGGGGATAAATCTACCACCAGTCCCTCATCAGATTCCGATGATGTCTATGGCAAATCCAAGGCAGTGGCTAATCGCAACAAAAAGGAAGTGAAAAGCCCCAGATATGCAGCAGCTCCCAACATTGTCTATGAGGCACGTATTAGCGAACTGGAGGCTGATCTTATGCAGGCCCAAATCGATTTGAAGCGTGTCAAAACGGAAAATGAGGATTTGAAAAAGAAATTGGCTCGATCCGACCCATTGGCCGTGGTAAGTGTGTCCAATGCAGGGCAAAATTGTGAAATACATCGCAAACAAATTGAGATGTTACAAAAGGACAAGTCGTCGTTGGAGGAAAACATTCGCCATTTGCAAAAGTCTCTCGACGAAGCCAAGTCCCAGCAATACTCTCAAAATTCCCAGAAACGTTACATCAATGATTTGGTACAAATGGAAAGGTCCCAGGCTGAGATGGAGGTACGCCATCTACGCGATGAACTCGATCGCCAACACGAAAGGGTGCGAGAGTTGCAAATGGAAATGGCACGTCGTGTGGCCGAAGAACGTTCCAATGCCGAACGACGTTATAACAATCAAGTTGACCAGCTAGGAGGTGATTTGAGCAGCCAATGGGAACAGGTGGCCAAACTGCAGTTGGACTTGGAGCGACAAAAACGCATCGAGGGCGATATGAAACGTGATCTGGCCAATCGTAATTCTCAAATCGAGGAATTGAAAATGGAATTGCGTTCGAATCGTTCCACCTTCCTGGCCGACATGGCTCAGGTCAATGCCGAGAAACAATCTTTGGAGCAGGAGATAACAGCTCTTCGATTGCAGCTAGATCGGGCATTGAGAGAAAATAAAACCGAGGCGGCCCGATTGAATGCTGAGATCAACTCGCTGCGTCAACGTCTGGATCGAGCCGATGCCGATTTGTTGCACTCGAAGAGGGAAGTGTTGCGTTTGAATGACGAGATTGCCAGTTTGGAGAAGGAGGTGAGGGGGTGCAAATGAAGCAAAGTATTAAAATTTAATATTAATTTTTCTCTCTCTCCCTCTCTCTCTCTCTCTCTCTTTTCCATTTTGTAGTTGGCCTATGGAGAGATGAAAAATGAAATACGCCCCACCAAAAAAGATTTGGATAAACGCATTTCCGAAATGCAAGAAAAGCATGGTGAGTCAGGGTTTTAAATTACTTATGTAGATCATAACCCACACTCCCGCACAATTATCACTACAATACGAATGTAGATGTTGCATGAAGTTTATTTAGATTTGAGAAACATTACACATAATTTTACTAACACATACATACGCATTTGCACTACATTAACTTAAAGCAGGTAATCAGCGGCCATAGTCGTGCAGGATCGACCATGTGATACCCTACAACACTATTATATATTGGACAGCCCCCTTAGGTCAAAATCCATTTTGGTTGATTTCATTTTTGATTAATGCCATAAGGTCCTGTAAAAATATTACCCTGGGTTTATGACCGATGGCATTTGCCCTATTTTTACGCCCTCTTTTGTGCTGATCGGTATTCAAATATAATCCAATGGTTATCCAATATTCTAAGTTTTTGCCTTGTCCTAAGCTCTAATATCATGCGAAATTCCTTGTCGATTGGCCTTTAATTGTGAACTGTAGAACGACTTCAATTCTATTCTGAACCTTACCAACCTCCACAGAAAATTCTGTGAGGATAGAGCCATAATTACAACCTGTATATAATACACCCCACACATAGTATTGTAGGGTGTAAAAAGAGTAGTGAAATAACTAACTGACCGACTGACCGAGAATCAATTCTCAGAGGAAACGGCTGCAGCTAGAATATTAACGGGAGCCAGTCTTGGTGCGTAGGCATGTGATAAGGCTGGGTATTTGGAAATTCGTACCAAAACTGTACGAAAAGTAATAAAAATTTAATACTTTGTATTGGATAAACGGAATGAGCTAGAATTCTGAAATTTGGATTGAGAGTCACTAATGAAGTGCAGGATAGATGTACCAAAGTTGTTCTTTTTTTTTTTGAAAAGTCGAGCTTTAAGGTTACGAAAAGTCAAAAAACTATGCTAAACTTCTAAACTGGTACCATTTGGTTTTATGTGAGCTGATAGAGCTTAACAATTGAAATTTGGTTTGAGAGTCAAGCTGAAATATTTAAATTTTGTATAGGGGTGCCTGTTGGTGATACGTTTGTGTTTGGAAATGTGTGTTAAAAGTACACAAAAAGTGATAAATTGAACTATGTTTGGTACAATTTGGTGTTGGGTGAACAGTTGGTGCTTGAAATCTGAAATTTGGCACTAGAGACGGTATTCATGTGTAGCGTTGACATTGAAGGCGGGTTCGGAGATGTGCACTATAATTGTACGAAAAGTACTAAATAGTACCAAATTTGGTGCTGGGTGAAGGGATAGGGCTGAAACAATGATATTTAATATTGCGATAACTGTTAGTGGCTATAATTGAGATATGGAACGGTTATAAAAATGTGTACTATAATTGTACGATAAGTACTAAATGGTGCTAAATTTAGTATTAATTGAAGGGATAAAGCTGAAATCCTGAAATTTGATATAAATGTTGCTTTTGATGTCTGTGGTTAAGATAGGGAGGTGGTTTTGAAAATGTGTACTATAATTGTACGGAAAGTACTGAATGGTACTATATGTTGGTATTGGGTGAGGGAATAGAGCATAATACCTGGAATTCGATATTGAGCTCTCTGTTGGTATCTGTGTTCCAAGTTTGGAGTTGGTTTTAGAAATAATAATTAATAATTGTACGAATAATTGTACGAAAAGTACTAAATGGTAGAAAATATGGTATTGTGTGGAGATATGGAATTGATTTTGAAAGAGTGCACTACAATTGTACCATATAGTACTAATTTTGGACCGATATTGGTGTCTGAGATGGAGAAGTGTCACTTGTTTCGAATATGCATGCTATATGTGCTGTGGATAGAGTTGAATTTCTGAAATTTGATATTGAGGCCACTATTGGTTTCTGGGGGTTACGTATGAACACCTTGAAATAGTATTGCACAGAAAACTTGAAAAACTCCTTGCTAAACTTCAAAATGCAGAATTTTGGTGTTAAAGTTAAATATTTTCCTATTGTTCTTCTTGAAAATAGGAAACACTGGAAAAATATATAAAATTTTGAAAGCCTTAACATTTAGTAAGATGTACGAAGTTTTTATTAAAAAATGATGCCAAACTGAAGAAATTGTGCATTTTTAGTACTAAAAATGCCTAACAGGAAACCTTAGAAATAAGTGTTTTTTTTCTGACGAAGTTCCCAAAATTCAAGATAATGGCCATGAAAAATTATAGTTTTTTTTTTTTTTAAATCCACGGATATGGTCCTGAAAAATTGTTTTAAAAAGGCCATTGGCTGTTATATTAGGGTCTATATGACGACATGGACCTGCATTGGTAACATTTGTCAAAAGCCAAATGCCAAAATTTAAAAAAAATCGGTAATAATGTAGATAAAATCATCAAAATACCGAATATCGGGAGGTACCGTTATATGGGGGCTATACGAAGACGTGGACCTGCACAGACAATCTCCTGTCATAGGCTGTAGTATCATCAAAATACCGAATATTGGGAGGTACCTTTATATGGGGGTTCTACCAAAACGTGGACCTACATGGCCAATTTTATATACCAAAAGTCCTGCAGACGTAACATATATTTGAGTAAAATTATATCAATCTACTTCAATTCCTTCGGAAGCTATAGTGATTTCCGCAGACGGATAGACTGACAGACGGACGGACATCGCTAAATCGACATAGAATATTATGCTATTCAAGAATATATAGATATATTTTGTGAGGTCTAAAGTGTGTTTATCGAGGTGTTATAAACGGAGTGACAAACTGTATATACTGTCGTGGAGGGTGTAAAAAGTTTTATAAAATTCAGTTTGGCCTTGAAAATAATATTTTTTAAAAATCTACGATTATGAACTTGTATTTTTTTTCAAATCCACTATTATAATCTGAGGAGTGTACGCAAATAAATATTTAGGAAAATAAAAATTGCATCCTTGGTAGATCTTTTAATAAATATTTAAAAGTATCCAAGATTGAATCCATGGTGAGCTTTTTTAAAAATATTTATACTACCGCAATAACGACCTTGCAGGGATATTTACAAAATCGAGTATTGTGGGTTATCTTTCATAGAATAGACCTCCTACGCAATGAATTTCTGCCCAACATATTTGTTTGTATCCCTGTTTGTATTTGAAAATATTTTTAAGAAGGACCACAGTTAGGGCCTTTGAAAAAATATGAATAAATTTGAAATTTTTAACTTTTTGGGCATAATTTTTGACCTCGAGTCTAAAAAAGTAATAAAACATCCACGATGATAACCTTGAACATGTTCCAAATAATCAAAAATAGGGCGTAAAAAGTATTCATAAGAGTTAAGGATTATGCCTTGATATTTCTTAAAAATAATTCAAAAGAATCTACGGATATGCCCGTAAAATAATAATAATAATAATAATAATAATAATAATAATAATAATAATAATAATAATAATAATATAATAATAATAATAATAATAATAATAATAATAATAATAATAATAATACTAATAATAATAATATACTAATAATACTAATATAATAATAATAATAATAATAATAATAATAATAATAATAATAATAATACTAATAATACTAATAATATAATAATACTAATAATACTAATAATAATAATAATAATAATAATAATAATAATAATAATATAATAATAATAATAATAATAATAATATAATAATAATAATAATAATAATAATAATAATAATAATAATAATAATAATAATAATAATACTAATAATAAAAATAATAATAATAATAATAATAATAATAATAATAATAATAATAATAATAATAATAATAATACTAATATAATAATAATACTAATAATACTAATAATAATAATAATAATAATAATAATATAATAATAATAATAATAATAATAATAATAATAATAATAATAATAATAATAATAATAATAATAATAATAATAATAATAATAATAATAATAATAATAATAATAATAATAATAATAATAATAATAATAATAATAATAATATAATAATAATATAATAATAATAATAATAATAATAATAATAATAATAATAATAATAATAATAATAATAATAATAATATATAATAATAATAATAATAATAATAATAATATAATAATAATAATAATAATAATAATAATAATAATAATAATAATAATAATAATACTAATAATACTAATAATAATAATAATAATAATAATAATAATAATAATAATATAATAATAATAATAATATAATAATAATAATAATAATATAATAATAATAATAATAATAATAATAATAATAATAATAATAATAATAATATAATAATAATAATAATAATAATAATAATAATAATAATAATAATAATAATAATAATAATAATAATAATAATAATAATAATAATAATAATAATAATAATACTAATAATAATAATAATAATAATAATAATAATAATAATAATAATAATAATAATAATAATAATAATAAATAATAATAATAATAATAATAATATACTAATAATACTAATATACTAATAATAATAATAATAATAATAATAATATAATAATATAATAATAATAATTAATAATACTAATAATAATAATAATACTAATAATACTAATAATACTAATAATAATAATAACAATAATAATAATAATAATAATAATAATAATAATAATAATAATAATAATAATAATTATAATATAATAATAATACTAATAATAATAATAATAATAATAATAATAATAATAATAATAATAATAATAATAATAATACTAATAATAGAAATAATAATAATAATAATAATAATAATAATAATAATAATAATAATAATAATAATAATAATAATAATAAAAAATCTTATAATTCTCCACTAAAATAAATTTTCAAATACAAATTGATTATATTTATTTTTTCTAAAACTGCACATTAATTATTTTGTTTTTTGCACATACATTTTGCATGCAACCACGCTTTGCTGTACCTTTATATGTGTGTTAATATCAATTTTTGTTTATTTATTTATTTATTTTTTTTTTTTTTTGCACAAACCATCACTTCAAACCCCCCCAACCTAGTCTTATTAGATAGACTCTGGTTAAGCTATTGATTTGTGTCCTTGTGTCAATGTCGGTGAAATGTGAAATTACATAAAAATCGTGAAATATCTATTCAAAACCATTAACAAAAATTTGAGATAATCTTTAAATTTAATTAAAACCTTTCGAATCGCCCTCCATTCCAAAAAAAAAAAAACGTTAAGTCGCGCAATCAATAGTTTATCCATGAGTTGGCAGTAGATTTTAGTATGCCTTTCGTATTCGAATCCACCATGCAATTGCCTGAACTTTTTTTCGAAGTAAAAATATAAAAAAAATGCAATCTAAAAATAAAGTAAATATTTTCCTTCTCTTCCCTCTTTACGTGTACCGTACTTCTGTCGTTGGCTTTGTGTTTTTTAGCTGAAACTGTTAACGAACTCGAAGAAATGATACAAAGTCAAAAGCAACTCATGGATAAATTAACCGGCGAATGTAAAGCATTAACGAATAAATTAGAGGATACGACATTGAAACACAAGTAATTTTTGGAAATTTAATTAAAAAAATATATTTAATTTTATTGGGAGAGCATTAAAGAGAAGAGATAAAGAGAAGGTCTGAATTTTAAACAATTTTTCCAAATTGACTTTCCAAATTTTCCAAGTTGCAGTAGATCAATTTATACATTTTTTGAAAAAATGGTGTTGTTGATGAATTGTCAGGATGTACATATATACAGGGTGAGATGAAAAAAAAACTACAACAAAGTCAAAAGCCATAATTTTTACATTTTTTTTTATTTTTTTTTAACGAAAGCAAAAAATGTGGGAAATAGAATCAAATTTTAGAATAAGTTTAGATTTGTTCGAATTGGTCACCTTTGGCACGAATTGTGGCCTTCAAACGGCCAAAGGAAATCGTCACACGCTGCCCGAATGTTGCTCTGCGCCCATTCCCGGAGAAGCGTTTTTTTTTGGCATATTTTAGTGCCAACCTTGCTTTCTAAAATACTCCAGACACAATAGTCCAACAGATTTCTATTCGGAGATTTTGGTGGCCATTTCGCGCTGGAAATGAAGCGAGGGACCTCATTTTGTAACCATTCTTGGGAGGCGCGTGCTTAGTGCGATGGTGCTGACTCCTGTTGGAGTGTCCAATATCTGCGGCCAAAATGTTTACGTGGCCAAGGCTTTAATGCACCCTCCAGATTTTTTTTGAGGATATCGACACTTTGGTATTTTTTTAGTGGCAACCTTGCTTTCCAAAATACTCCAGAGATTTTGGTGGTCATTGTGCGCTGGAAATGAAGCGAGGAACCTCATTTTGTAACCATTCTTTGGTGGCGCGTGCTGAGAGCGAGGGTTCTGAGTCCTGTTGGGATGTCAACGGTCGCCGCAGACCGTTGACATCCCAACAGGACTCGCGATTTCGGCATCTCAGCATTTATTCTGATGCCACGTTCAATTAATACGAGCGGAAAGTGATCATCGGCTGTTATGGCGTCCCACACCATCACCATAGCCGGCGCTTGAGTTCTGGTGCCCAACCAAAGGTGCAAATTTTCAGCTGTCCTCCTTGGCAAGTAAAAACGATAATAAGAAAACAAACAGATAATTTTGTTTGTTTACAAACTTCTGGACAACGAATGGTTTCTCATCGGAGAGATAGAGAAAAGCTTATTCGGCAGTTCACCACTTTCGGCCGAGAGAAGCAACTCTTTAGCTCTTTTGAGTCTGTCTTCTTTCTGTTGGGGTGTAAGTTCTTCCACTTTTTTGGAATTTCAATGGCTTTACCCAGAGCTCATTTTTCAATATTTGCCGAATGGAATATTTCGATATGTTAAGCTCACGAGTCATTTTTCGGCCACTGCAACACTGGTTTCGATCAAGTCACTTCTTTTGCTTTTCGAACCATTTCTGCTGATGTTGCTGTTTTCTTCCGTCCACTTCCTTGACGTCGGTCGGGCTACGCTACCAGTATCAGGGTAACGTACGAGATACAAAAGATTTATTCACATTTAAATGCTGGAGTGCTCTAACGATAGCCACTTGTGGTTTTCCAGCCGAATATAAAAAAATCGCACCATCCCGCTTGAATTCGATCACGAATAACTTTTTTTCTGAAAAATTCTCAGCAAAATGCTTTTGTACGCTTGTAAACAACGTAATGGGCTGTCACTGCAATAATTTTAACAGCTGTCGGGCGAGTGGCTTAGAAATGACAGCAGTCTGAAGTTGGTTGCAGTTCTTTCTTCTCACCCGGTATATATTGTGGCCAAATTGTGGCATCAAATAATTTTCGTTCAAAAAATCTATTTCCAAAAAATCTATTCTCTTCCCAGAGAACTCTTTTCTTTAAGGCTCTCTCATATGTTCAAGAAAATAAAAAAAAATACAGCTTACACACATCCCCAAGGATCATCAGCCATATCAGGAATAGAAAACGCTACTCTCCACTCTCATCGTCACCAAGGATGTTTCTCTTTCCTTTTTTAAGTTTTGTGAATGTCTTTTAAGTTCGTTTCTTTGGTTTGTCCTCATTCATATTCAGTCATTTGCTCACACAACTCACATACACACACACACCCTCCCAACAGAACACAAAACATACACTCGAGAAAAAATTACCAAAAACAAGAAAAAAATGGTTAACATGCTGTCATTGTAAATTTTTTCGTGCTGCTTCGTCGGTTCCAACAACAAAATCTCCAATCCCTAAATAGACTTGAGTTTGGAGACAAACAGCCAGCCAGCCCCTGCCGATCCTCAACAAAAAGAATTCTTAAACGTAGAAATGAGGGAAACCTACGACAATGTTGGACAAATGACTGTGGAAATAGAGGAGGTGAAGCAAGAGGAAATGCCAAAACCATTGGAGAAGCCAACATCGGCGGCACCGGAAAAGGCGGAAAACGCAAACGTGTACACTTCTCGCTTTGATGATGAGAATATCTGGCAAAATATATCGCGTAGTATAGAACGTTTAGATTTGGATTGGGCCAAGATGCCGCCATTGCCAAAATTAACACCAACCACGAGTGGCTTCGGCCAAAAAGCCCGGCAAAATGAAAACAAGTGTCACTGCTCGCCGTCGAGATTTTCGTTGTCGAATCAAAAGGAATATGAAACGGGGAAGAAATCGAGCATAAATCCCATTTTGGGAGATTTCAAGCGATATGGCAATCCCATAACGGCCACAGCCTATTCCAAGCTCCACAAAAATACACAACATCACCATACCAAACACCCGACACTCTTACCACAACCACTTAAGCCAAACAGCCAAGATAGCGGTGGTGGTGGTGCCTATCATCATCAGCAGCACAATTGTAGACATGATTACACCCTAGACATGCACCCTCCCATGGAGGCAGAGATTTCATATTCCACCATGCATGGTGGTCACACGCAAGAGCGGGAGAGATCTCAACATTTTAGCGGGGACAAACACCAACACACCATTCCCACCACCACCACCACCACCACCACATGTGATATTCCACCACACCTCCACCACTCACACACAAAAGTAGAGACCACAACCTCGGTGAAAACTGAGGATCATTGCAACCCTAGACTAAGTGGGCATAGCCCCAGGCGCAAATGTCACAATCATCATCATCGACATCATCAGCACCACAGCCACAGTGGCCATAGCAGGTGCCACTCTCACGATCGTGGCATCGATGGCTTAAAATATGAGGCCAGCAAAACGGAGCCGTTGCCTTGGTTGCAACAGCATTTGGTTTTAAGGCAAACCATTAAATCCTGCCACAAATGTCAGACTACGGATCATAGTCATGTGACCATGGAAACTGAGCGCAGTGGCAGGCCAGCAACAGCTGATGGCCATCAAGTGCAGGTGACAACATGTTGTCATACCAAACATGTTATACAGACATGTTGCAACAATGCAGAATGTCTCAAGGGGTTGATGCCAGCATCTGGCAAAAGAGAGGAACAAAATAAGGCTGTTAATACGGAGGGACTCTTTAAAGGCGAAGAGAAGAAGGAAGAGAAACCGAAAGCGAAACCCTTTAAAGTTGATGTCAATGTTAGACTGGTGCCAAAGACCTCTACACGTACCAAGGAAACTGAGAAGCCTGAAGAGGATGTAAAAATCCCAGCAACATCAGGGAGTAAGGAGCAACAACCCCCGGCTGCTGCGGAGCCAACAACCACCACAACAACAACAACTCCAGGCACGGATGACAATGAGTTGTATTTGGATTTTGAAAATTCCGATACAGAGGCCACCAAACTATAAGATTACAAATGAAAAAATCGAACACACATGGGTTAATATCTTGAGAGAAATTATTACAGAGGAATTATGCTCTTTGCTCAATTTGTGGGAGCCAAAAGCAGAGAGAGTGAAATAAATTTAATTTAATAATTTTTCAATTTTTGAATTATTTATTTTATTTTCTTATAATTTTTATATTTTTTTATTCTTTCTTATTTTTGGTTAATTTTTTCTCTTTATCCCCCATCTCTCTATCTCTCTTTAGTTTGGAAAAGCAACATTTACGTGATATGAATTCAAAACTCATGGATCGTTTGAAACAGATCTGGGCCAGTTATAAAGATCTCAATAATACACTGCAAAATTATCGCCAGCAGAAATCAGATTCAAACAGTGATAAAGAGAGAAGTGATATTGATGAAGAGCATAATTCTAATACGACATTTGAAATTACACCAACACCAATCAATCAGCAAGAGCAACAACAACACAAGGTTGGTTAACTGAACAAATTATAACTAATCAAATTGTCTTTTTTCCTTTTCTTCTCCTCTCTTTCTCTCTTTTTTCTATCTCTTTGTATTTCCTACTCTCTTCATACTTTCTCTTCCATCCCAATGCTACTCTTTATCTCATAATTCGTATTACAAAGAACGGAAATATCTTCATTACAATCAAATGTAGAATATTTAACAAATCGTATGATGAACAACGATCGTATTGGTAAACTAGACAATACACCAACATCATACGACAGTTTACCATCAGCAGGCAAAGGTAATGTCCCGCACATACACAGAGATAACGTCTTGATATTTTTTGAAAATAATATTTAAGAAAAAAAAATCCACGCCTTGATATTTTTGGAAAAAAATATTTTTAAAAAAATTTACGCCTTGATATTTTTTGAAAAAGATATTTTTAAAAAAATTTACGCCTTGATATATTTTAAAAAAAATATTTTTAAAAAAATTTACGCCTTGATATATTTTGAAAAAAATATTTTTAAAAAAATCCACGCCTTGATATTTTTTGAAAAAAATATTTTTAAAAAAATCCACGCCTTGATATTTTTTGAAAAAAATATTTTTAAAAAAATCCACGCCTTGAAATTTTTTGAAAAAAATATTTTTAAAAAAATTTACGCCTTGATATATTTTAAAAAAAAATATTTTTAAAAAATCCATGCCATGACATTTTTTGAAAAAAAAAAATAGTTTTAAAAAATCCATGCCATGACATTTTTTGAAAAAAAAAATATTTTTAAAAAATCCATGCCTTGATATTTTTTGAAAAAATTATTTTTAAAAAATCCAGGCCTTGATATTTTTTTAAAAAAAATATTTTTAAAAAAATCAACGCGTTGATATTATTTGAAAAAAATATTTTTAAAAAATTCACGCCTTGATATTTTTTGAAAAAATTATTTTTAAAAAATCCAGGCCTTGATATTTTTTTAAAAAAAATATTTTTAAAAAAATCAACGCGTTGATATTATTTGAAAAAAATATTTTTAAAAAATCCACGCCTTGATATTTTTGAAGAAAATATTTTTAAAAAATCCACGCCTTGATATTTTTGAAAAAAAAATTTAAAAATCCATGCCTCGATATTCTTTGAAAAAATATTTTTAAAAAAATTTACGCCTTGATATTTTTTGAAAAAAATATTTTTAAAAAAATTTACGCCTTGATATATTTAAAAAAAAAATATTTTTAAAAAAATTTACGCCTTGATATATTTTGAAAAAAATCCAAGCCTTGATATTTAAAAAAAAATATTTTTAAAAAAATTTACGCCTTGATATATTTTGAAAAAAATATTTTTAAAAAAATCCACGCCTTGATATTTTTTGAAAAAAATATTTGAAAAAAAAATCCACGCCTTGATATTCTTTGAAAAAATTTTTAAAAAATCCCCGCATTGATATTCCTTGAAAAAAATATTTTTTAAAAAATCCATGTCTTGATATTCTTTGAAAAAATATTTTTAAAAAATCCACGCCTTGCCATTAAAAAGTTCTTCACTCACTGATTATCTCACACGTCTTTATTAACTCTCATTTCGTTTTCTCTCCTTTTCTCTCCTTTTCTCTCTCCCCCATTCCAGCCTCTCTCGACTACAAGCCGACCACATTTGGCACAACCGACACCAGCACCACACGAACATCAGCCCTTGCCGATGACTACAGTGGCAAATCGAATCCCTACAGCTATGACTCCATACTGGGTAAAACTTCAGCCGAACGAGACGCCGACAATGCCACCAAATCCCTTATCACAACCCCCGTATCCGCCTATGACGCAGGCGACTATAAGTCCTCAGGATATGACTACAAGTCAGGATTGTCGGCACTCAACAACGACAACGATGACGAAAATATCAAAGACAACATTGGCGAAGGAGAGAAGTTCAAGCAATCGGCAGGAGACCCAAATGTTGGCAATACAAATAACCCAGCAGAACCACAACAGCAACAGAGTGCCACCGTCGCCGCCGTCGATGATCCAAACTTGGCCTCAGCAGCGCCCCTTGCTGGCGACTACTCGGCCGCTGACTACAGCGGCTATGAGGGATATGACCAGCAGCAATACGATGCCGCAGGCTATGATGCCAACTATGACCAGTCCCAGTATGATCCCAGCCAATATGATGCTTCCGGAGCAGGATATGACACCACAGGCTATGATTACAATGCCACCGACTATGACACCTCTGCATATCAGTACGACACCACAGAGCCAAGTGCAACCGGAGCAGCAGCAGCAGGGCTTGAGGATCTCACCACCTCCAGCGTCACAGCGAAAGAGAAACAAACACCAGCCGCCGCACCATCATCAGCTGCTCCTGCAGCAGCTGCAACACCAACAACTGCCGCTGGCGGAAATGGCCCAACAGAAGGCCGTACTCAATCGCGAGCGGGCAGTGGCGCTGTGGGGCCAACAGCTACGCCTGGAGGCCTCACCAGCGGAAAATCCAATCTGCCACAACAGTCTTCCACGTCAGCAACCAAAAAGTAGTCGGGATCCGGATCTGGATTTGAGTGCAAATCTAACATTTGATTGCTTGGATCCATTCGATTTGGAGTTTAGTATAAGTAGTCCAAGTTTAATACGTTCCTACGATGTGGATGATTCGGATACAGAAGTTGAGGAGTTGGCCACACCATTGGGGCTGGATGCTGGTGCTGGGGATGATTCCATATCAGAAATGACCTTGACACCAACACCCACCACCATTCGGAGGATACCAATCCAGGAAATGCAGGATAAGTAGTTGAAGCGAAGGGGAGAGGGAAAATAGCGGGAACGTGACCATTTGTAAAAATATTTTGTAATCGAGTTGAAATCTACAGAACAAACCAAAAAAACTTAAAAAAATTAATAAAATTAATTTATTATAAAAAAAGTGTGTCTATCTACAAAAAGTGGGGGAGGTCCTGAGTTGAGATTCATTTATTTTTCCAGCGATGGATAGGCGGTGGCCACCATTTTCTTGCCATGCCAATCCCAGGCATGGGTAATAATACTAAACTTGGCATGCCCCAACTGGACGGCACAGGGTTGGCCCACACTCAGCAGGAAACACATGGTGTAGAGGCTCAGCTCCAGCTCGGGGGAGGTGCCCACAAACAGGGTGTTATAGGACTTGTTGATGTTGTGGAAGCTGAAACGCAGGGCCATTAGGTAGTGGCCGTCCTATGAACAAAAAAATGAAAAAAATTAAAAAATGATTGGTTCCTTCGCCCTTCTAGGCCACCCTACCTTCTCCAGATTTAGCTTCTCAATATGGCCCTTGTAGTTCAAATGCCCCAGCTTTTCCTGCTCATGAAAGTAGACCCAATTATGCAAACCCAATATGGTGCCATCACGGATCTCGGCCAAGAAGACATGTTCAAATCCAGAGCTGCCAACACGACCCTGGCCACGGGAATACTGTGTAAACCACATATCCTTGAGGAGTCGCAACTGGGAGTCTCTGTTGTTGGTGGCAACACCTAGGAGAAAAGAAGACATATTAGAGCCTTACGAAAAAAGTAGAAATATTCATTTATAGCTCACCTTTAAATTCCAAAAATTTCATAGTTTTCTGCATGACCGGCGTATCCAGAACAGCTCTTAGAAACTCATCTTCCTCCTGCTGCTCCTCCTCGGTTACATGTTCCGTGGCATGGGTATCAAGTTCATAGTTGTCGAACAAGCGACGCATTAAGACAATGGTGCGAGATTCAGCACCTTCGGAGGTCAGCAGATCTTCATTGACCTGTAAGAGGCTGAAAAGAGAGGGAAAATAAAAAAGTTGTTTTGTAAACGTGGATACAAAGCCTTGAATTTTTTTTTTAAATCCAGTCCTTAATAAGCCTTGGAAAAAAAATTTTAAAAAATCCACGCCTTAATAAGCCTTGGAAAAAAATCTTAAAAAAATCCACGCCTTAATAAGCCTTGGAAAAAATAATCTTTAAAAAATCCACGCCTTAATAAGCCTTGGAAAAAATTATTTTTTTAAACATCTACGCCTTGAAAATTTTAATTTTTGTAAAAATTCTACGCCTTAATAAGCCGTGAATTTCCTTATCCACGCCTTAATAAGCCGTGAATTTTTTTTAATCTACGCCTTAATAAGCCGTGAATTTTTTTTGATCCACGCCTTGAAAATTTAAATTTTTATAAAAATTCCAAGCCTTAATAAGCTGTGAATTTTTTTAATCCACGCCGCAATAAGCCGTGAATTTTTTTTGACCCACGCCTTGAAAATTTAAATTTTTATAAAAATTCCACGCCTTGAAAATTTAAATTTTTATAAAAATTCCACGCCTTGAAAATTTAAATTTTTATAAAAATTCCACGCCTTGAAAATTTAAATTTTTATAAAAATTCCACGCCTTGAAAATTTAAATTTTTATAAAAATTCCACGCCTTGAAAATTTAAATTTTTATAAAAATTCCACGCCTTGAAAATTTAAATTTTTATAAAAATTCCACGCCTTGAAAATTTAAATTTTTATAAAAATTCCACGCCTTGAAAATTTAAATTTTTATAAAAATTCCACGCCTTGAAAATTTAAATTTTTATAAAAATTCCACGCCTTGAAAATTTTAATTTTTTTAAAAATTCCACGCCTTAATAACCCTTGAAAAAAATAATCTTTAAAAAATCCACGCCTTAATAACCCTTGAAAAAAATAATCTTTAAAAAATCCACGCCTTAATAAGCCTTGGAAAAAATAATCTTTAAAAAATCCACGCCTTAATAAGCCTTGGAAAAAGTAATCTTTAAAAAATCCACGCCTTAATAAGCCTTGAAAAAAATTCTTAAAAAAATCCACTCCTAAAGGGGCCTTGATTGATGACCCTCAAGGATTCTTCTTAAATAGAAAAAGGTCTTCTGAGGTCTTGTAGATATAGAAGACAGTTCTAAGGTCTTCTAGACATGGAACTCGCTTCTGGGGTTAACTAAACATAGAAGAGCCTTCTGTGGTCTTCTAAACTTAGAAGAATACGCTTCTGAGGTCTCCTAAACATAGAAGACTTCTTATACGGTCTTCTTAACGCAGAAGACCTTTTTAGGTTTTCTAAACATAGAAGACCCTTTTGAGGTCTAAACATATGAGAACCTTATGAGGTTTTTTTTTAGCATAGAATACCCTTCTGAGGTCTTCTAAACATAGGGTAACCTTCTGAGGTCTTCCAAAAATAGAAGACCTATCCAAGGTCTTTTATACACTTTCATAGCTCTTCTGAACACCGAAGACCCTTTTGAAGTCTTCCAAAAATAGAAGACCCTTACAAGGTCTTGTACACATTTCCATAACTCTCCAGAGTTCCTCTATCAGTAAAAGTCACGCAGAAAGTCTCCCATATTCCCCTTACTTTTTATTTAATTTCCTCTTGGTTCTTACTTACGGATGTGGTGCCCTATCGTCGCGATAGGATGCCTTGGTTTTTCCCTGAAAATTCACTTTCGCCAAATACGGATTGTGTTGCTGTTCCAGTTCGTAGAGACTGCGGGTGAATTCATGGATTTCATGCTCAGTGGGAGATTCGGTTACATTGTGTAGAGGATCATAGGTGAAGTGTTCTAAAAGCGGAAGTAAAACGAAAATGAGATCACGAGCGTTGAAACAAACTTCCGCAGTGCTGCCAGCCAGCCAAGTTACACCAGCTGCAGCTTGTCTTACCATACAAATGCCAGGCTATGACAACCAAAGCTATGAGAATCGCTCCGCCTAGGAAACGTTTAATTTTAGCACATTTTTCATCTTCTTCTGAGGGTGGTGTGGCTGTGGGGGTGACAGTGTTTTGTGGTGGTGGCGGTGGTCCAATGTTGGGATAGATGGATGCTGGCGTTTGGGACATGTTTGCGTTCGATGATATTGTTGATGGTATTCTACCCAATTCTATTTTTGTTGCCTATTTTTTGTTGTGGAACTTCTTTGGAATTTTTTCAAAAAACTTATGTTTTTTTTTCTGAGGGGGGATTCACTTTGGCACACACGCACGTCTTGCCGTCTTTAGGCCATAACTTCTACGCTGTTTGATTTCTCTGTTGAAACTGATTTTTTTTTCGTTAGTTTCACGTTGTCTGTTGGGCTCTCTGAGCGTTCAGTGGCAACTACTTCCCATCCAACTATTCATCGGTACCCCCAGAGGTTGTATGAGATTTTGAGATCATAGCCAGTAGTTTTATGGCTGTTCGTTGTTGTTGTTGTTGTTTTGATTCTCTGTATATTTTTATAATATTTACTCGTTCTCTTTACACGTCGAACGTGGTGATGACGTTGTTGTTATTGTATCAGCTGTTATTGTGGTTTTTTGTTGTTGTCATTTCACATTGTTGTTGTTTTTGTTTCAAACAAGTTTTTTTGTTTATCTATTTTGGATCTCTCCAGAGTAAAATTAACCCACATGTTGTTGCTTGTGTGATTGTTTAACAAATTGGTGTTGCTAATGTAGCGTTTTTTTTTTCGACATTATTTTATTTTTATTTATTTCTTTTTTTTAAATAAAGCTGAAAATAATATTTAAACTTGTATGAACAGAATATTGTCTTATATATTTGTTGTGGGCAAATTTTAAGTAACTTTACTCTTTTAATTCACTGGCACAGTAGATTTAGAATGAAGTATTCGGATCTTGGGGGCCACTATGTCCCACAATAAAGTACATGTACATATTTTTTATAAATGGAATTTCGAAGCTATTTGTGTACAGTTTTTAGATGTAATTCTGAGAATTTCGAGCCATGATATCTGGTTTTTTCATCATTAAAGAAATTTGAAAATATATTCTGGACGACTTTTCTAATTTTTTTAATGATGGGAAAGCCTGGGAGTTTTACCAAATAGTGGACCCATATCGCAGATAAAAATAACTTCTGATTATTTTAAAATTTTTGATACTCCACAGAGAGTATGGGAGAGTTTATGGTTTCTTTAATAAATTTTCGATATTGAAAATCCCTTCTTAGGTCATCTTCTTATTTAGTACTTTTCAGTACAAATGATCAGCTCAATTCCTTTACCCAAAACAAAATTTAGTAACATTTAATATGCATATCTCTATATCTCTCCGCCCGAGACAACAACAGTGATCGAGAATTAGTACCATTTAGTACTTTTCGAATTTGCAAAACCACCACCAGATGTCTACAGAGACCTCAATATCAAATTTCGGTATTCCAGCTAAGAATTTAGTAACATTTCGTACTTTCACGGTTTCAAAATCCAACACATATACCATCAGTGATATAAATAACAGATTTCAGGATTCCAGGTCTATCCCTTCACCCAATACCAAATATCGTACTATTTAGTACTTTTCGTACAACTATGGTACATATTTCCGATACCACCTCCATATGTCGAGGCTACACATGAACAGTGACAAATTTCAGATTTCAAGTACTATATGTTCAACCAATCCCCAATTGTACTAGATTTTGTACACATAAGTACGAACTTTCCAAATTTCCTACATGCCCCAATTTCTGCACTCCAAATTTCCAAACCCACCTCCATACTTCAATCATACAATTCCATTGATTTTTTTTTCCAAATTTCGGAATTCCAGCTCCATCATTTTACCGCTATAGTGTCATTTAGTACCCATAAGTACGAATTTCCAAAACTACCCTCATATCCCAATCCTACACTCCGACAGTATTTCTAATTCCAAATTTCATGCTTCCAACCCTATCGGTTTATCCAAATTGTCCAAATTGTACCAAATTAAATACCATTTAGCTCACATAAGTGCAAATTTCCATAACTATAAAATCAATTGAAATCTTATTTCCAAATTTCATGCTTCCAACCCTATCGGTTCTCCCAAATCCAAATTGTACCAAATTTAGTACCATTTAGTACAAATAAATATGAATTTAAAAAACTATATACATTCTTCAGTCCAACAATGCAATAGTATTCTTATTTTCAAATTTCCGGATTCCAACTCTATCGGTTCATTCAAGTCGAAGTTGTACCAAAATTTAGTATCATTTAGTACTTTTCGTACAAATAAGTACAAACTTCGTAATGTCAACGTCAAATTTCTGGATTCTAGCTCAATACGTTCCTCCGAATAGTACTCAATTTAGTACCGTTTCGTATTATTCGTATACATGTGTGCATACACCCGAAACTTCCTTCTTATATCGACTTACCTTGGGAATGGAATAGGAATCTAAATTTCAAATTTATAGATCTAACTGTTGACATGATACGAAATTTTACCATTTTAGATCTTTTCGTATTCTTATATCGAAAATTGACAAAAACACTTTCGCACATCTACGCTGCACATCATCAGTGAGTGTCATTCCAAATTTCAGAACTCTATGATTTCTACCAGGTCCTTCTTGTGAATAGATAACCTCTACGAGGACCTCTACGAATATTATACCTGCACGAAACCCTTATGACGAAAATGCATTCACAAAGTCCTCTACGAATATAAGACCTTCACGAAATCATCTATGAATAGAAAAAGTGCAGGAAAATCTCGATGAACTAAAGACCTATACGAGATTCACAATGAACAGAAAACCTGTACAAATATAATACCTTTTAATGGTCCTCTATGAATACAAAGCCTACGAATACAAGACCTCCGCGAGATCCTTTATGAAGAGAAGGCATATATGATTTCCGCTATGAATAGGATATATATAAGACCTATAGCTCATTCCGGTTGTTCAATAAAAAAAATTTAAATTTTTAGTACTTTTCGTACACTTTTTAGTACGAATTTCCAAAAACCGAAACTCACAGGCACCAAAATTCCCCCTCGTGTAAATTTTCAATATCAACTTTTCAAACTTTAGGCCAAATCTCAATCCTACACACTAAAAGTGTCCCTAATGCCAAATTTTATATTTAAGGCACTATTCATTAACCCAATACCAATTTTAGTACCATTTAGTGATTTTCCTATACTTGTAGTCCGCATGTTTTCCTTATTTCAATCCTACACAAAAGTAGTGCCCCAATAATAACATTTCAAATTTCCAGAACTATTCTTTAACGCGTACAAAAATTGAAGCATATTTCGTACCATTTAGTATAGTTTCTAAAATTGGTACTCATTTCCAAAAGTACAACCTTATATCGACCCTTTCTCGCAAACTTAATTCTTATCCCAAATATAAAGATTTTAGCCCTATCTGTTCACATAATACCAAATGGTACCAAATTTAGTGCATTTTGATACTTAGATCGAATTTCGAAAAAAAATGGTACAATTATCCTATACCCCTTCAGCGACCCCAATTACAATGTCAGAATTTTAGCTCTATCCGTTTGACCAATACAACGGATTTAATATTTAGTACTTCTAAGTTCTTTTTAGTACCCTTCATGTGCGAATTTCTAAAATCCCAGCCTCAATTCACCTTCACATCCCAACATTGACTTACATGCAAATTTCCAAAATTCTAGTCAGTCATTTATCACTAAGCTTTTCTGTATGAAGGCCACTCTATGATCAGCTGCAACAAACCCCTAGGATCATCAATATCTTCTGGAGGTCCCGAGAACACGAAAAATATTTTTTTCGTTTCTATCCCATCATTGATATTAAATAGAGTGTAATCACATTATATGCCACACTAATTGCACATACATCTGTAAAAATTTTCACGCGATACAAAAAAAAACTGTTTTTGTTTGATGCTCTCTTACCAGAAACTATTGTTATGGTACTCTTTACTATGCTATGATAGGTATATTGAGTTTATCATTCCCTTTGTATCTCCTCGAAATAAGCATTGTAAACCCTAAAAATTTTAAAATTTAACTTATGTCCGTCTCTTTGACATATTTATTAGATTGAAAATGGGTTGTATCGGTCCACAGCTTTGTATAACGCCCATAAAAAGGTAACTCCTCATATCTAGTTTTTTGATAATTGTAGTCACAATTTCCAATTCAAATTTTGTATTTGAATTTTGAAATAGGTGTTATATTCAGAGCTAGAGGATTTTTCATGGGGGCCTACAGTTTCCCTTTGTCCCCATATAACAGTATCAGAAGATATTCGACTTTTTAATGATTGTAGCCACAAAATGTGTTCTATGGTCAAATTAACCAATTTAAAGTCAAATCGATTGGAAATTATGGCCAAGACCTTCATAATAATTAAAATCAGGAGATATCTTTTATATAGGCTGTACCAAAAGCTGGACCCATATTGATATAATTTATAGATATCGATTCTACATCAAAAGAACTGAAAATGTCAACATTTGGCGAAATTAAATGGAAAAAATGGCCAACACTTAAAAAATACTTGAAGTCGGAGTTATCCTTACAAGGCGACTATTCCAAAAAATGACGGATATGACCCATTTTCAAGTCCATCAAGTCCTATACGAAATTGACAATATTAGCGCATTCCTTCGGAACCTACTCCATGGAGGTTCAACAATTTGAAAAATCATAACAGAAGTCAAAATATATTTAAATAATCGAACATTGTCTAAGGGTATACATCTGTCGGCGGCTGATACTTTCTTCGTTTTTTCGTTTTCCCTCGAAAATTTGAATTTTGGTATTCCGTTGTTTGGCCATACTGTAGGGCATCCTATTGTCTACCATGCAGTGTCGGATTCTCTGCATGTTTTGATTGTTATATTTTCATCAAAATATTTGAACATGTGTTACTCTGGCGGTCGGTGAGACAATGTGGCGGAAACCGAACAAACTTACAAACAAATAACAACAAAACTACGCATGTAAACAAATAACCTGTTTGTTTCATAAATTTAACGCCGAACAAGTATCAACAATATTTGGAGACTCTCTCTCTCTCCCACCCGCTCTCTGAGTTGGAGGAATGGGTTGGAAAGTGGAACAGCCAACAAACAATTATTGGCTAGACCTAATAACTCAGATGGCTTCATTTTGTAGGGCTGATAGGAAAATTTGGCCACTGACACCAGGTATTAATGGCTGGTAATGATACCACTCAAACCCTTTAACTCAACATTTATGGGGTTTGAATGGTCAATTCCAGTTAATCCATTTCTGGCGTTTGTAAGCAACAATAGAGAATGGAAAAAAATCAATCAGCCATAAATATACTACGTCATAGGAAGGGCTTCTGCCTCCCCCCATGCCACACACCACACTATAGCATATTGATGACCTTCTTCCTATTTCGGCTAGTTCCAAACACAGGTAGGCCCATGGGCAACAACCGGCC